CCAAAAGTGTGTAATTTTCCAAACAACAACAAATAAAACTAGTTAAAATAGAAATAATACATGATAAAAATACAACTCTATCACACCATAACTATCTGTGCAGAATATTGACCAGCTTCTCGTAGTCCTTCTTCAGTAAGAACTTTTTCATATACAGTTTCCCCACTCCGGTGGCTTCAGGCCGGCAGTAGATTTCAACAAAGGATTCGACAGAGATGTCCACTGTATAAAGATCAATGAGTGTAGGGGTGTCCTGATCCTGAGAATCTAGTTGGACGCCAAAGAACTCATTTAGGGCGTCAGCATCAATCTTCAAGTTCTTGCCCTGAACTTGAGAGTAGATGGCTTCTCTTGTGATAGTACCATTCAGGTAGAATTCGGCTACATCCTTCGTACTGTAGTTTTCATATGGGTGAGCAACGATCTTGCTCAACTGTGAATCTTTCATCCCTTGGATGATTTTCTTTATCCTTTTCTGATTTTCTGCCAAAAGGGGCAGTGCTGACATGTCAACCCGCATCCCGGTGACAATGTTGTCAACAAGTGACTGAGCTTCTTCCTTGGAGAGGTCGTTGATGTTGATGAACTTCATTGTTAGGTTTGAGAGATGTTTTGGAGATTTCTGAAAGTCGGAAGTTCGAAGGGAGAAAGTTTGAGAACGAAAGATAGTAGAGAGATAAAGTGTAGTAGCGGTTTAGGTTTGAGGTAGTGGGTATAAATTGATTTGGGTTAGTGGACGTTTGCTATTATTGGGAGTTTGGGAGTTACGAGGTAGCATTTAATAAAATGTGGGAAGAAAGGCGTTTCCGTTTTAAAGGAATAACTATCAAGGGTACGATAGTAAAAGACATGTTCAAGTACTTAGGCCTGCCCGTTCCTCGAAAAATAACTAAGTCCACAATCGTCTTGATAGGATCTGATGAGAGTTCTAGTATCAGAGAAGGCGGTGTTCTGATGAGTGGTTCTCTGGTCAGAAAGAAAATGAAGATCTGGTCCAGAACAACTTTGATTCACACATCTCTGGGAAGATAATCCATCATACCCAGTTTTCCTCTTAGCTTATTGAACCTTGCCTCAGAGAGAGGTTTGGTTAGGATATCTGCTAGCTGATCTTCTGTTGACACATGCTCCATACAGATGTGTTTCTTCTCTACATGATCTTTGATGAAGTGATGTCTGATCGCACAGAGAAGCTTGATTTCCTTAGCATGAATGCCATATTCCTTCAGTTGTTGCTTCATCCAGAGCAATTGAGCACAACAACTTCCAACTGCAATATATTCTGCTTCTGCTGTACTTGTTGAGATGGAGTTCTGTTTCTTGCTAAACCAGGAGACAAGTCTCCCACCTAGCAATTGGCAGTGACCAGAGGTGCTCTTCATGTCTAATCTGCAACCTGCAAAATCTGAGTCAGAGTAACCAATTAGTTCAAAGTTACCTCCATTTAGATACCATAGGCCTGCATTTGGATTTCCTTTGATGTATCTGATGATTCTTTTTGCGGCACTAAGATGGCTCTCCTTGGGCTTTGATTGGTATCTGGCACAGATTCCAACAAAGAATGATATGTCTGATCTGCTTGCAGTTAGATAGAGAAGAGATCCAATGATCCCTCTATATGTTGTTTCATCGACATATTTTCCTTCATCATCTAGTCCAATTCCTTGAGATGTGTTCATGGGAATCTTTACTGATGCTTTTCCTTCAATTCCAAATTTCTTGATAAGATCTCTTGTATATTTCCCTTGGTTGATAAAGATTCCTTCTGGAACTTGTTTCACTTGTAACCCTAGGAAGTAACTGAGTTCTCCCATCATACTCATTTCAAATTGAATCTGCATAACTTGAGAAAATTTCTTGCATAATTCTGCATTAGTACTTCCAAATATAATATCATCAACATATATTTGTACTAGCAGAATATGGTTAGCAATAGAGATTTGAAATAAGGTTTTGTCAACATTTCCCTTGGTAAACCCATGGTTCACTAGGAATAGGGACAATGTGTCATACCATGCTCTGAGAGCTTGCTTAAGACCATAGAGGGTCTTTCTAAGCTTGTAGACACAAGAGGATTGAGTAGGAATGATAAAACCTGGTGGTTGTTTCACATAAACTTCCTCTTCAAGATCTCCATTTAGAAATGCACTCTTGACATCCATTTGGTAGACCTTGATGTCTTTGTAGGCAGCATAAGCTAGGAAGATTCTGATGGCTTCCAATCTGGCAACTAGTGCAAAGGTCTCATCAAAATCAATTCCTTCTTCTTGGCAATAACCTTTAGCTACCAGCCTTGCTTTATTCCTTACAATGTTGCCTTCTTCATCTACTTTGTTTTTGAACACCCATTTGGTTCCAATGACATTCTGGTGTTTTGTCCTAGGAACAAGTTCTCATACTTTGTTCCTTTCAAACTGAGTCAGCTCTTCTTGCATTGCATTGATCCAGTCAGAGTCTGAGAGAGCTTATTCTACAGTCATGGGTTCCATCTGAGAGATGTAGCAGGCAAGCATTGCTTCTCTCCTAGTTGTAGTAGATCTGGTCTGTACACCACTTCTGATTTGTCCAATTACTTGGCTTGGTGGGTGATCCCTCAACCAAGTTAGATCAGGTTCTGATAAGGGTTGTCCTGATCTCTCTTGTTCATCTTCTGATTCTTCATCACTGTCTTTGTAACACCCCCAAAATTCCCAACCAAAAATATATTTAAATATAAATTTATTCAAAAGAAATATTGGACTTTTATTTGAAAACATCAGAGTTTACAGCGGAAAAATATTCAAAGGAAAATAGGGGCGTTACCGCCACACTCGATTTTCTCTTAACCGAGTGCACAGGCTGAAAATACTCAAACTCCAAAATTGATTATTTAGATCTTGTAAATTAACTACATTGATTACTACAACTACATTTTCTAGCGGAGGCTCTCTCGAAATCAACAACTTCGTCAAATCATCACCTGTATAAAATCAAGTACAGAAAGAAAAACAAACAAAACAAAAATTAGCAACAATGCTAAGTAAGTTCCACCCAACACATGCCCTATCTACCCCGATTGGAGTGCAAGCGTTGGTCATGGTCAAAGTACATCACTCCGCACATGTAGTACGTATTGACCTCAAGTCGGGGGACTATTACACTACTCTATACGCTGATAATCCCATAGACACATGAATAGAACTTATCAAATGGTTTCTCGACGGGTATGCCAATATTCTCTAAAATATTTATGTGACCATCATGAATTACAGGAACTCATAGTTGTGAGATCAACTATACTCTCTAATTAAAGGTATGATGCAGTCCACATACCAATCTTATCGCATATCATCAATATCCCCTTCTCGATGATCATTGATTGGGGCTATTTTTGGACCTTATATTATTTCATATAAGCTCCCACTTATTTATTGACAACATAAGTCCAAGTGAACACAATTATGAATAGGATATTGACAATCGAAATACTTAATCATCAGTGTGTAATACCATATATATCAAATATATAAAACTGAATGTGATCAAGTACATATATCTTTAAAAAGTGATTGTCACTAGGACATATATACTAACACCTTCCTCTAGCCGTGTGTCGAGGGTCGGGCCATGGGACGTCCATGGGGCGAACCCGCTGTTCGTCTTCTTCTTTTTGGATGGGGGGGGGGGGGGGGGGGGGGATTCCCCAAGTCCCGAGCCCATCCGATCCGCCATCCAGCGGTTTGTGGCGGCTGGCGCCCTGTCCCTCTGGACAATGTCTTCTTCAATCGAAGCATACTTCTGTGCTCGGGTCAGTACTTCAGCATAGCTGGTCCCCGGTCGCCAAAGCGTTGGTGAAGAGGGTGATGTCGGTTTACTCTGTCAGGTCTTCGACCTTCAAAGTTTCATCCCTCAATCGGATCAGGAAAGCAGAGAGGCTTTTTTAATCTACTAATCCCTAATAATGGGCTTAATTCATTAATCTCGTGCAATGGGCTTCACACGTGTGGTCTTCTATTGGGTCATGGTCACAGTCCATGGTACCATCGAATATTATTCGGAGTATTAAAAACTACCAAAAATAATCAAATTTAAAATATTACGGAGTAATACTAAAAACACGTGAATTTGTTTAAGTGTGTGTGTGTGTATATATATATATATATATATATATATATATATATATATATATATATATATATATATAATAGTCAAGTAATACAATGAAAAAAGTTCTATGTACTACTTTAAAGCATGTATGTATTTGCGTCTGCATGTATGTATTTGTGTGTGCATATATATGTATATTAAAAAATGGTTAAAGTACTTATCAAAAGATAAAAAAAATTAAGTTAAATTCATATATATTTTGTACCGGTATTCTTAAACATGATTTTGCATCTCAACAGCTTATTATGAACAGTAAAAAAAATGAACAGTAAACCTACCGATCATTTTATTTTGATCCATTGATGATAGAGACTGGTCAAAATAGCTAACAGAATTCGCTGATATCAACCATCCAATGTAATCGGCTATCAGTTAACGACCAACGGCTTATTGCCAAACACTTCCATAGAGAGGCGCTTGGATTGTAATTTGTTGGTCTGTTCTGAACTGGTCTGATCTGGTCTCGTAATGTCTGATCTGGTTTCTTTGTATTTTTAAAACTATCCAAGTCTGATCTGGTCTGGTGTGATTTGGTTTGGTCTGGTACTCTGTTCTTATTTGATCTGGTCTGGGATAAAAATAAGTCCAAGTAATAACATACTCTTTTTTTATCGTAGAGCTATTAACATAATTAAAACGTGCATTTAAAATAACAATAGTAACAATTGCTTAAAAAGGGAAATACACTTACTACGTACGGAGTAACGTACAATAATTAGCATTCCAAAATTAGCATCCCAGATTGTTAATGCGTGTAAGAAATAATAAAGTGTTTTAATAATTACATATCCTAATTAATTTAGACTAGTTTGATGATGTATATATACTGTCGATTGATGTGCTCGATTACATATCGAATTGTTTACATTTTCATCAGAACTAAAATTACTTATGGCTTCTCTTCAAATGTTTATCTTTGCATTGCTTCTAGTTTACAGTCAAAGTGTCCCTACGCAGTTTTCAAAGCCCGGTTGTCCTGAGAAATGCGGCAACCTAACAATCCCTTATCCGTTTGGTATAGGAAAAGAGTGCTACTTTGATGATGAGTTTGAGATTAGTTGCAATAGCTCTACTCACGTCGCTTCCCTGCCTGCACTTGGCGGACTAAATATACAGAAAATTTCACAAGAAAACATCGTCGTTGATGCTTTCAATTTGCCATTTTTGTTCAACAAAACAACTGGGGAAAATCTCGATGGGCCTCTTTTGGGAGAGATTGATGGAAGTCATTACCATTATTCCAACACACAAAATAAGTTGGTTTCATTTGGTTGTGATACTTTTGCATACATACAAGATTATAGTAGCAGACAGATTGTAAGTGAATGTGCGACGTTTTGCAATGATGGAAATAATAGTTCTTTCTCAGATCTTGGACATTGTGAAGCTGATCTCATCTCTCACCCAGGGAAGCAATTCAGAGCATGGATGCATACAATGAACACGCCGAAAAAGTTATAGAAGGGAAGAGATTGTAACTTTCTGTTTATTGTGGAAAAAGATTTTTCTGTTTATGAAAAAATTGATTTCACAAATTGCGAAAAAGTGTACGTTTTTCCTCTAGCTCTAGATTGGGCAATTTCAAACACGACATGCAGCGATGGAAATGTCATTTGTGGAGAAAATGCTGAATGCATAGATCATAATGGAGAAAGGGGGTACTCATGTGAATGCAAACAAGGATACACAGGAAATCCTTATCTCCCATCGGGATGCAAAGGTACGTACTTTATGTAAAATTATTACAGATTTTATATACGGACAAGTATATTATTCCATACTTAAATAGTTACTTCCTCCGTTCTTAAATAAATACAACGGTCAACATTTCACACTTGCCGAGACACAACTTTGACCATTAATATATACCCCCTCCGTCCCAATTTGTTTTGCAAAGTCAACATTTTTTGGTCAACCAATAATAAAAGTCAACCCTCCTTATGGATAATTAATTCAATTTTTAATAATTAAAATTTATATATTCAAAAACATCATTAAAATCTCTTCAAAGTTGTAAACTCCAAATTAGAAAATAATTACAAATTGACATCCTAATTAAGTGAACAAAACGAAACTGTTTGACTAAGAAAAGTCAAATTTGCAACTCTTTTTGGGACGGAGGTAGTATAAATTTATATTAGTAAAAAAATTAAAGAAATTAGATATTGAAAATTTACAATGAGACAAATTTAACAATATATTTTTCATAAAAATATATTCATACATTAATAAATAAAACATAGTCAAAGTAGAACATGTGAATAGTGTAAAATTCTATATGTTGCATTTATTTAAGAACGGAGGTAGTACAATACAAAATCCAGATATACTTTTGTAGTTTTGTAGATTCACACTGACTTACTAAGTATAAAGATTATCAATTTTCGTTGCTCACATTTACAGATACTCGGGGTAAAATCAAGGCTTAGGAGGATGATGTGATGGAATGTCTGCCAAAAACGGGAACGAGATTGGCAACTTTTAACTACGGAGTTTTACTTATTTAAGAGTTTCAATTGTTATAATAAAGTGATCGTTCTTATATAATTTTATTTGGAGTGTTTATTTTGATTGTTTGAAGTTTGAGTACATTCCTTAATCGAAGTGGTTATAACATTTGCTGCTTGGTTGGTGAATGGTGATAACAAGATTCTAATTAGTTTTGTTTGGAGTAATTATTTTTAAATACTTTATGATATTTTATCAAGATTATTTATCAAACAAACGGTCGTTTTATTGAATTTGTTAAAAGCGGTAAGTCAGTTTAATGTATTCGTTTAATCCTCAGAGAGGCATTACACTTGTACACGGTGAAATAGCTAGCTTTTTCACAAAAGAAAACATTTCGTTAAATTCTAGATAGTAATATCATTTCATTAAAATATGTAAATTTCACTATATACAGTAGGAACATAAATTCGTGCTTATTTAACTTTGAAACTTGGAAATAAGATCAAAATAGACTCTCTTACAATTGTAAATCGGTCAGTTGAACTCATATACTCTGTACAATGAAAACCATCAAATAGATTCATGTACTCTCCAAAAAACAATCAAATGAGTCAAAATACTTGGAGTTAACCTTTAATAGCAGGTCATCTTTTAGTTTTTCTCTCTCACATTTATTTTTTGGGAGAATTCCCATGATTAATCAGAAAATGGGCTCTTGAAATCAGCAAAAAGACTTAATTAACTAAAGAGCAATAATAGATCCGAAAGATAAGAAAATGCCGGATATACCTCACTGCTATAAATAAAGTAAAAAAAGTACTCCACAGATAAGAGAGGTAGGCATGATAAAATAAAAATATTAGAGAGGTAGGTAAGTAGGTTCATATGTGAAGAAAGAATTATGGAGGTTCGTAAACCTTAAAATAAAGTGGGGAGATATGAAAAAGATGTTGATAAGCCTGATAAGCCGAAAAAAGAGGTCACCGAAGAGGAAAAAAGAGGTCACCGAATGGGCTCTTCATTCATACGTTTTCTTTCACTTCCCCTGTTTTCCTTTTGTTGTATTTTTGGGGAAATGGGTCCGGTTCTATGGTGTAGGGATGGTCCCCACACGCGTCTTTGGATTCGAATTTTGCATCGTTCGTATTTATACGGGATACATACTTTTTTTTTATCGGGTGGAGGTAGGGAATATAGTCGAGGCGTCGAGTTAGAAGATTTTTTTACCTTTTTTCACCTACAAAATTTTTACAGTAGTCCTTTGGAGTAATCTTTATTCTTTACTACTCCAGGGTATTCGTATATTTGCTTATTACCCCATCCCTTCTAGAAAAAGGTGCCACATGACACAACTTTCTAATTTAAATTCAAGCAATGACTTTGAATACGTAGTATATATAACATCACCCCTTTCAATTAAAGTATGATTAAAGTTCAATTTACATATTCTCAGATAATTATTCGATCAGTTCTCGGGGCCCGCAGAGATGAGGTGTCCTAAAATAATTTGATTTTTTCGATTTTAAATACAAAAATAAAGTGATAAATTTAATGTATTTTCTCAGAAGTATTACTAAAATGAAATGTATGCATACAAATGTGATTAATAATTATTGTAGTACAGTCTGCTAGTCACTTATGTGTAAAAAGTGAATATAAGTTAGCATGATTAAAACTACAATTATAATCACTACACTCAGGGGTCACTTTTTTATAAACAACTTTTATTATACTCCGTAGTTATAAGTATGTAACTATTTCATAAATTTATACTTAATTTTGTTCTTTTCTCGTTTACTTAAATGTCTTTGTTTTATGGTGATAGGACTAAATTTTACGGAGTATTTCTTTTCTCATCTACTTTATTTTTTTGCAAATTATATTGAGACGAGAGAACTAGAGAAGTATAGTACGGTTTAATTATATACGGAATAAATATGTGTAACACCAAATTTATCTTTTTTATTACTCCCTCTGTAACATTTATATCTTCACACTTTCCTTTTTTTGACGTAACATTTATATCTTCTCATTTCTAAATCTTCCCATCATATCCTCAATAATTTAAAAAATAATACACTATTACACCTACTTTTTTTGAATTTATCTTTCATTTCATCACATTATTTCACCATCTTCCCATCATACCCTCAATATTTATATCTCCTTTCACTATTCTTAATCTCACTCACTTTAGAAGTGGGAAGATATATATGATACGGAGGGAGTATTTCATAAACTACTCCGTGTATAATACCAAGTATGAAACTTATTTTAAAACAAATAAAAAATTGAAAATAAGAGGATTCAATTGAGCCCTGATCTGACTTGTTTGTTTTTATTGAGCAGAGTACCTCTAGAAGTGGTCTACCAATCCTCTATATTAGGGCTGGGTCCGAAAAACCGAAAACCGAAAACCGAATCAAATTAAATCGAACCGCAACCAAATAAAACCGAACCGCTAAGAAACCGAAACCGAATGTAAAAAACCGAACCGAACCGAAGTTGTTTGGTTCGGTTTTGGTTTTTACCCTTCAAAACCGAACCGAACCGAACAAACCGAATTATTTAAAATATGAAATTTATAATTTAATTGTTAGGCATTAATTGTAATTAATCTTAATATCATCAATAGTCTTTGGTTTTCTTGTGTTAGAAAAATAATGTTTGTTTTATGTTTAATTTAATTTAGTTTATAAATTCATTTACACATTCATTGTCTGTAATAATGTAGTTATATTGAATGATAATAATATGTGTTTACTAGTTATTAGTAGTAATTAACTTTTTTTAGATAACTTAAAGATTTTATATTGATAAAACAATAAATATTCATCTCAACTATATCACATAAAAGTATAGAATGTATATATTCACGAACTTTTTTCGAACTACTCACAAACAAATTAACTCTATAATATATATAGTTTTATCTATCTCGCATACTCATATAATTCAAGACATATTTATCTCTTCTCATTTTTATTTTATTTGTCGTTGTATTGTGCTTGCATTCTTTATGTAATATGTTTGATCCCTCTAAGTATTATATCAATTTTGAATCAAGTGATAATTTTTTGGTAAAAAACCGAAAACACCGAAACCGAACCGAAACAAACCGAACCAATCAAACCGTGGTTCCAAGTTTTGGAGTGTAAAACCAAACCGAAACCGAACCGAACTTTTTACTTTGATTCTATATTTGGTTTTAGGTCAAAACCGAACCGCAAGAACCGAACCCACCCCTACTCTATATATGGGTCGTCTATTGAAATGAATGGATCATTTGAAACATCAAATTTACCATGCATTTAGTTTAATTTAGGCCCTGCATGCACAGACCAATCAAGAATTTATGGCCAATGAGCATTTATTTCTTTTTTTTTTGAACGAAGCATTTATCTAATTTAGATAGTACTACCTACATCCCGCTAATATTGTCCTATTTTACCATTTCGGTCTGTTCCACTAAGATTGTCTCATATCTTATTTGATAAAGTTTGTATGGGTCTAAATCATTCTTACTTTATTCTTACTTTATGAATTCAATATCAACATCATAAATCACTTTTTATAGATTTGAGTGTCACTCCCCCTGGTCTCATTGTTAGTGGGAAGGAGGAGTACTGCTCTCTATACTTTTTATTTAAAATATAGATATAAAATTAAGTTTTATTCCATAAAGCTATATATCTAAAAGTAACGCAACTTAATACTACTGATGTTTTTACTTGGACTGTAATTTGCAGGTCTGGTCTGATAATGTCTGGTCTTTTTCTTTTATTATAACTATTCAAGTCTGGTCTGATCTGGGATAGATTACAGTCCAAGTAAAAACATCCTGGATTTCGGCATTCCTGGATCAAAAGCTTGAGTGATGCAAAATAAAAAACGAAAACCATGTGATTTTCAAATTTTGAATGACAGTTAAATTCAATTTACTTTGATGAAAAGAATCTAACTGGCGCATAGTTGCACATTTTTTTATAATGTTTTCCTTTCTTTTTTTAACTACATTTATCTTAAGAATATTAACTCAAATTCTTGAGGTTTGTTTAAATTGAGTGCTTCTGCACAAAAGAATGAGTGTTAATGGTTAACAACTCCAATTCGCCAATTTTCACAAAAGAAAACACTGCAAAATGCCGCGGTTAGATCTGAATCCGCCAAAAAATAAACAGGCGCAATTGTAATGTCATGAGAATATTTATTTTGAATTTAATATTTAATTTTATCTACATAGTGTAAGGTGTTAGAGACTGTATAACCAGACCGAACTTTTTTGGGGTCCTTTTGTATGGGCCGCGCGTTTTCTGTTCTGCTGTGGGCCGCGCAGGTCCGGTTCTGTTAAGGGTTATGTTTTACTCTCTATAAATACAAGCTCTCTTCTTGTAATCATTTATCCAAAATTAATAGCAATATCCTGGTTTGGTTACACCCCAGACGTAGTCCTTTGTGGCGAACTGGGTTACCAAATTTCGTGTGTTCTTTGTTATTGTTCTTCGTGTCGTGTGAGTTAAATCGTAACAATTGGTATCAGAGCCCTAGGTTCGAAGGGCGATTTCACGATGGCTTATTTGAAGACAGCGTTGATGCAGTTCGATGGAACGGATTTCGGGTTCTGGAAGTTGCAAATCGAAGATTACTTGTACGGTAAAGATCTGTATCAACCTTTGGATGATAAGCCAGGAGACATGAAGGAGAGCGATTGGAAGTTGCTGGACAGGAAGGCGATGAGCGTGTTTCGATTATTGCTGTCCAGAAACATCGCCCTCCACACCGTCAAAGCAAAAACAATGAAGGAGATGTTGCAGATATTATCGGAAATGTACGAAAAAGCATCTGTTGCGAACAAGGTTCATCTGATGAGGCGTCTTTTTAACCTAAAGATGTCAGAAAGCACAACAGTTGTAGAGCATCTCAACGAGTTCAATTTAATCACCACACAATTGAGCGCGGTTGAGATCAAATTCGACGACAAGATTCAAGCCCTAATTCTACTGTCTTCCTTACCAGAAAGCTGGAACGGGACGGTTACTGCGATAAGCGCCTCAGAAGGGAAAGAGAAGTTGAAGTTCTGTGAAGTTAGAAATCTAGTGGTGAGCGAAGAAATTCGCAGGAAGGAATCGGGCTTGACTTCTGGATCGACGTTGAGTACAGAAAACCCGGGCAGAACGAACTCGAACTCAAAATCAAATCGGGAAA